ACTTGATACTTGATACTTGATACTTGATACTTGATACTTGATACTTGGCACTCAATATTTAATACTTAATATTCGGTTGATACTCGGAATTTGATATGTAATACTAAATAGTTATTACTCATTATTCGATACTTAATACTTACTACTCTATATTTAACACTTAATAGTTCAAGACTCAATATTATATTCGGTACTAAATAATTGGTACTTGATACACAATATTTGATGCTTGGTAGTCGATGATTAATACTGAATAGTTAATACACATTATTCGATACTAAATACTTGACACACGATACTCAATACTTGCTACTCGATATATAATACTTAATAGTTAATACTCGACATTCGATACTTATTAATTGTTACTTGATACACGATACTTAGTACTTAATAGTTGATACTCGACATTCGATATTAAATACTTGATACGTGATACACGATACTCAATAGTTGGTACTTGATATTCGATACTTGATACTTGTTACTCGATGCTCGATATTCAATACTCGATACTCAATACTTGATACACGATGTCCGATACTTAATAGTTGGTACACATTATTCGATACTCGACACTTGATCCCTATTAAAAAATAAAAGGTTCACGTAGAAACCATCGTAATATTATAAAATAAAATTAACATTTTGCACGATGGAAACTTTGTTGCAACTTATACAAAGCACACTACGAAGCATCTGAATGTGATAAACACTAAAAATATTTTTATTTAATCTATTACAAAACTGCTTTTATAATATTTAAATGAAATTCGAGACGGTTCTCGGAAACGGCGTTAGGTATAATTAGTCATCGATGTTAAAAACAAATGTCATCTTTTCGTTATTCCTTTTATTTAAATAAAATTCAAGATTAGTCAGGGAAATGTCATTAAAAATATCATTGGTATCGATGATAAAAATAGACCACATTTCTTCAACTCTCCTTTTATAATATTTAAATGGAACTCGCGATAAGTCAAGGAAATATTGGAAGTTTAATTAGCATCGATGTTAAAAACAGACGTCATCTCTTCGCTATTCCTTTTATTTAAATAAAATTCAAGATTAGTCAGGGAAATGTCATTAAAAATATCATTGGTATCGATGATAAAAATAGACCACATTTCTTCAACTCTTCTTTTATAATATTTAAATGGAACTCGCGATAAGTCAAGGAAATATTGGAAGTTTAATTAGCATCGATGTTAAAAACAGACGTCAAATTACATTAAACGTACGATTGTTAGCGATGTAATGGACGATCCGAAAGAAGTGCGTATTAGAAAATTGTTTTTAGACAAACAACCAATTTTTCTAATACTAAGTTTAAGAACATTCGGAAGAACGTATCTCTCAGTGCATTTATCGCAATTTTTGTTGAAAATATCGCAGTATTATTCGAAAATATCTGATATTAACTTAATTATTTAAATCTTGTTACCAGAGAATTTTTCCATTTATACCAAAAGAAAAAAAAAAAAGGAAAATGGAAAACTTTCGATACGACATACGCCTTGCATGAGATGGCGAATTTATATCTCTTGGAATATCGTCTAGAGATTTAATTCTTCGTTGGAGATTCTTGCGAGTCAAGTATCTCGAGGACCTGCTTATACATCTCGGATCGCAAAACGTTGGATCGCGTGACGTTAACAATTGCAGACGCAATTGCGGAACGCGGAATGTAACATTAAAATTGATGAAATGGAACGACTGCCCTCGTTGTCCCTTACTTTCTTCTCTAATAGTTTCTAGCTATAAACGTATCGTAGACGTCGGCGGTTCTAATCTTGCTTGTAGATGTTAGGCGTATGATTAGGCGCAGATATTAATCTCTGCGCCTTTGACTTCAATCATTCATAACTGTAATTGAAACAGATAAATTTATTCGTCACTTTAGTCCATTGAAGTTCATAACATGATCTCTATTGCGATGTATCTATACACGGAACCAAAGTCTTAACCCGATGGCCATTGCAATGCAGCTGTACAAACTTTAGTAGCCATGAGACTTTGCTTTATTATTATACTCAGATAATTATTATATTGGTTTGTCTGGAAAGTCCGTGCCGATCGTTGATAGGTGGCACAGGTCTGAATATATTGTAACGTTTGAAAAGAAATAACATGTGTACATCCCTTAAAAGACGGAAAGGGTGTGGAACAAAATGGTACATATATAATTCAATAAATATATATCAAAATTCAAATGTTTCTTTGAATTTTTCTTAAAAATTGGCACGAACTTTCTGGACAACCCGATAATTACCAAGGACACTTGTAATCTGTTAAATGAAAAAGAATGAGCAAAATTTGTTGGCTAATGAACTTCCAGCATATAGATACAGTGGCGAGCATATAAATAGGGAAAATGTTTTGTTAACATGTAAGACGTTGTTCTGCAGTCCCGATTGATATTTCTCCTTTAATCTTTTCATACTTCAGAAGTACATTTCCTAAGCTTTACAATGCCGTATAGTTTTAATTGCTAACGCCGTTTAATTAATAAAAAAAAAAATAGGAGACTTGAAGTAAGGACATTTTTGGAGAGCATCTAAATAGGGAACGACAGAATTATTTATCAAAAGTATTTTATTTTATAATATAAACAACATATTCACAATAACATATTAACATTTCGTTGGGCCTCTCTTTTTTCTTATTACCTCAGAACAGCGACGCACAGTCCGGACAGATATCAAAATTCTGGACAAAAATCAAAATCTCATTACTAATATAAATATATTCCTATTTATTCACAGAAAAATTAAAATTAACCAAAAAGATTAATAAAATCACAACAAAATCAACAAATTTAACAAAAAATTAACAAACCCCGATTTTGATGAAACTTTGTATACTTGTTTTTGGGGCCTTCTTATGAATTACACCATCCTCAGTACGTGCGAATTTTGCGTTTTGAGGGAGAAATTAACCCTTTTATCCAAGCGGCCCCCCTTTAATTTTGCTCGGAAACCATTAGAGATTTCAAAGAAATGTTCAAGCAAACAGTACACTGTTCTTAGAGGCCTATAAACCAATACCAACAAATCTACAAAAAAAAAAAAAACAAATTTTTTTTTTAAATTACCCCCCCGCCTCGAAATTTTTGAAAATTTTGATTTCTTTCTGGATTAGTAAAAGCGTTTTTTTAGTCTGAATCCAACGGTATGTATGAGTTTATGATTATCATACAGGAAAATGATGTAATATTGTAAAATTGTCGCTTTAGTGGACTATATTTCGAATTCTTTAGGAATTTTTGTTTCATAAATAATAGAAGTTGCACCCATATGTTATTTAACAAAATATGCTTCATTTTGGCCGAGGATGTGAGAAATAATTTGTATAGAAATCCATAAATCAATTAAATCAAAATTTTTAACTTCCAATTGCGACCCTACACCAACAGTACGGTCCCTTATTAAAAATTATATAAAACCGAACGTTGCAAATATTTGCAAGAGAACGTATAAGTTTCTTAAAATATGACAAATAATGTATCCAAATATGTTGAGAGCTCAGGATACTTTTTGCCGTGTTGTCTGTATGATTGTTTAAAGATAAAGATTGTATTATGGATACAAATGATTGATACATGATTATTTATAACAATTTCCACGCTGACACACGTTTTCTACGATAGAAATCTACCTCACATTGTGATATATACTAGTATTGAACTCTGTCCACTTATTGCGCCCATTAGGTCGATACTTAGGTTATTTATCTACCTATATAGATAGATAGATGGTTTCATAGAGACTAAGTTGAGGACTTGGAAGATTTTTATTATATTTGAATGTAACGAAATTACAAGTAGATATTTCTATTTAAACTAATGGTATAAACGATTGAATATAAAGGCACGAAATTCCTTTCTACTCCTGATAGTATCGCATGAATTTCTACTCGCATGGTCACGTAGCTGTATATAAATTATACAGGGTGTCCCAAAAATGTTGTAATACCTTGAAAAGGGTGGTTCAGAATTTCTGAGTCAGAACCTCTTGAGTAATAAATCAGGGAAAAATGAAAAAAAAAGAAAAAAAAACACGTGTCAAATTGTTGTCACATATTGTTCGTCACATGTACATATACTAGAATGTTTCTTTTTTCTCGTTGGCAGCGTGCGTGCACCATCTCGTGATATACACTCCGGGACAAAAAGATGGCACACTTTAAAATTAACATCATTTTTATTTATTTAACATTAAAACCAAGGTTTTGTTTTTATACATTCTTACTAAATACCTCTATAAACATATACAAATAAAATTGGATTGAATTTCGCCAGTCTATACAACTTTATTAAAACAAAAAAAAAAAAGAATTTTTAAGGAAATATAGTGGGAGAAAATGATAGCACATTAACACATTTAACTTAAAATTGTGTATAACAATAAATCAACGAATGATATTTAATGCATAATATCTTATGGCTCCTCCTTTACATTTAATAACAGCCATCATTCTCTTTGGCAAAGATTTATGGAGTTTTTTAATAGTTTTTTGCTTTAATTGCTCCCACTCATCTTGAATACATTGTTTTAATTCGGCAATATTTCCAAATTGTCTGCCATTTCCATATACAGCTCGGGCAAGATTTCCCCAACAATTTTCAATAATGTTAAGGTCGGGTGACCTTGCTGGCCAATCCAAAACGCGAATTTTTTCTCGAGAAAAGTATTCTTTTACTACTTTTCCAGCGTGTACTGCGGCATTATCCTGCTGAAAAATAAACTTCTTTCCAACAATTCTGGTGGCAT